ACTAATTTATTGGTCAATGCAAAACTACAATGTTTCCGTAAAATATGAAAACCATATATTAAATACTCCATTTACACATCTATCAATTGTCTCTCACAAAATTCATTATTCCTTTATCCTTTTTTCTTCTACAATTATTCTCTGTATACATTCTTGTTTTCTTCAATTCGATCTTATCAAAATTATGTTGTCCGGCATTCGAATTCTAATTGGTATTACATACTACTTATATCTGTCAATTTAAGTAGCATATACCATACTACTACTACTACCACTAATGATCATGATAACAGTAACATGAAATTATTATGATCTAAAAAAACTCACTTGTTGATAATATTTTATGCAAAAAGAAAATAAAACGTTTCTATGCTTATTAGCGTTTATATAAAAAATCATAAGATTTATTAATGTATAAGTCATGTACCTATGTTAATAGAAAAATTTATGGAAAAACGGTCCTGAATAGTAAATAACCAGATAATTTGCACTTTCACTGATAGTGATAAAAAACATCATATATAATAACACTTATTTGAAATCACTAGCTTGGTGAATGTCTCGTTGAATGTTCGAAGCGAATAATACAGAGTTTGAGTCCCTATATGAGCATCAATATTGAATTGTGCTAGGTACGTCCAACTGACAAATCCTAAATAAGTCAAAACATTTGTTCTTTATTCTAATGCTAACTACAACTGATTTCTTTCAAATAAATAAAACTATGTTTATCATAACAATGATTCTTATATTTAATTTGTAAAGGTTTTTGATATTCCGTAACTGAATTTTGATTAGTTTCAGTTAACATATGTACATCCTATGAGGATTACTTTAACATAAACGATTTTCACAAGTTATATTAAAGAGATACTTTATGACTAGCAGTGAGATCTAGAATTTTTTATAATTTTAATGAGAAAGGCTCTGTGTTTGATTCTCGTAGGTGTTTATCAACTTTAGAATTCAAGTACATCAAACTGACTTGTCTTAAATAAGACAGAACAGTTGTTCTGGATTCCGTTACTAATCACAATTCATTTTTTCCATAAAAATCATTCCTATAATTGTATGGCGATACTAGTGACGCTTTTCTTGGTCATTAAGTCATAAAACTAATTTTTTTTTGGTATATAAATGTGTTTTAATCCTTAGTTGAAAGTTAAAGATGACATATCATTTGTATAAATTGTTTAAATGTTCCCATTGATGTTTAAGATTGGAGTCGATCAGTTTCTTTTTAGAATATGTGCATTCTATACCGATTGTCTCAGTATTTCCGTTTAATCACAAGCATCATAAGTAGAATTGTATGATAATAGCCTTAGGTTGTGCTTATGAAATAAGAACGAAAGTGTCATTTACTGACGAGAAAATGGTGTATGATTAACATCTGAGTAAAATGAATAAATAATACATAGGAATATTATTTACTTACTTACTTACTTACGCCTGTCACTCCTAATGGAGCAAAGGCCACCGACAACCATTCTCCAACCAACTCTATCCTGGTCCTTCTTTTCTAGTTCCATCCAATTCTTGTTCATTTTTCTCAGGTCTAGCTCCATTTCTCGGTGGAATGTGTTCATTGGTCTTCCTGTTTCCCTTTGGCCTTCAGGATTCCATGTAAGGGCTTGTCTTGTGACACAGTTTGATGCTTTCCTCAATGTGTGTCCTATCCACTTTCAGCGTTTCTCCCTGATTTCTTCCTCCACTGGGATCTGGTGTGTTCTCTCCCACAGTAGGTTGTTGCTAATAGTGTCTGGCCAATGGATCCGAAGTATTTTGCGTAGACATCTGTTAATAAACACTTGTATCTTCTGGATGATGGCTTTCGTAGTTTTCCAGGTTTCCGTCTCATACAATAGAACTGTCTTCACATTTGTATTGAAAATTCTGACTTTGGTGTTGGTTGCCAATTGTTTTGAGTTTCAGATGTTGTTCAGTTGTAAATATGCTGCTCTTGTTTTACTGATCCGTGCCTTCACATTTGCATCAGATCCACCGTGTTCATCAATGATGCTGCTTAGATATGTAAAGGTTTTAACATCTTCCAAATCTTCTCCGTCAATTGTGATTGGATTGGTGCATGCTGTGTTGTACCGGAGAATCTTGCTTTTACATAGGAATATTAAGCTCCTGAAAAGAGTAAAGTTGATGAACCTTGGCAGTATGAAAGTACATAAATGAACTTTGGTAACTAATAAAGGAATATGAAACTAATATGTTAACTGCGAAGAAAATGTTAGAAAACAATTCGAATTGAAATTTCTCATTAAAGTTTGAGATGTTATATGAATTTTTCCATATAATTGATAATTTTCTCGATCTTCGATATCAATGATTTATCTTTATAATTATTCATCAATGTAACTATAAAGCATTCTCTTACTCTAAGCCCAACTGCTTACTCTGACCTAAACTCCATATTTTAATTCTAATGGATTTGGGTTTTTACGTGAAACATCCTCCGCATCTTGATCCGTTAAAGATTAACTTTATCTTCCTAAAGTTATTTATGAATCGCTAAATGTCAACTGTCACGTTTCATTTTGTAAAGCTCAACCATACTGTTCAATGATTTTGAGATCTTAACTCAAACAGAAGATAAGGAGGCTTATTATATAGAGATTTGGATTTGGGATATACATTTGAGTATACTTATGTTATAACTGATGTCGAAAAACCTTTACGCTAACTTACAGTACTAATGCTCAAAACTAATTTTTAACTTTATTTCGATAATTGTGTTGTCACCTTGAAGAGGTGACACACTAATGATTAGTTATTCACACAGCTATATAATATAGCCCTGTGGGCCAGGGTAATTTTAGATGTTTTCAGAAGAACCAGACGCCGTCCAGACTTTCACGTGACAACCCAAACAGTACAGCTCAAGCCCGTTTAATAGGAGAGCCAGATACTGTATGGGCTTTAACGTTACAATCTGAATAGTACAGCTCAATCCTGTGGCACAACCACACAGGTACCAAACGCCCTGGTGAACCAACACTAATGATTATTGAAAGTAATTAGCAAATGAAATTATGAAGTTTGTCTAGCAGACTTTATACGTATTTCTACATGGTTTGCCGTTTGTCATTATAGTTATAACCATATTTTACTGTTGTAAAAATGCTCATAAAATATAATTTGAATGTCCAGATCAATATTGCTTTCAATATTCTCCTGCATTAATTAATTATTTATCAGTATGGGGTTGTGGAAATTAAGTGTTTGCGCGCGAAACCGAAAGCCCTAGGTTCGAGTCCCGCGAGCGAGATCGTGGACGAGCACTGCTGAGGATTCACACACTAGGACGAAACGGCCGTCAGTGCTTCCAAGTTTTCTATGGTGGTTTAGTTTCAATTAACTGATGAATTTAACTATTAAATGTCTACATGCTTTAGAAAAATAGAAGAGAAATCTGATATTGAAGCGTTCTGTAACAAATATTACCCTTCCAAGATCACAAACATATTGGATAGCATAATATAAAGTCACTAAACCTAAAAAATTAAATCATCATTCTAGTTACCGATTCGAAGTTCGTATATATATTATAATGTACCTTTTGAAGTTGGTTTCAATGAATACAAATGTTAGTTACTTACATTCAGAATAACGAATACAACTTTCTAGTGATATAAACCTCACCCACAAGAAAAATGAGTTTCTATTATTTTGATTAATAGATTTATAAAGACGAGAAAAATTTCAGAAACAGTTTCTACATAAAATAAAATCAGCTTGATAATCAAGAATAACTACGAAGTACTGGATAGCTATGAATTTCCTTAGTGGAGAGCACTTATGACATCAAACTAAGTCAAACACTTGATCATCAGTCACTGAGAGAGTTATAATGACTTACATTGATTATGTCAGCATCCAACAGTTCACATTTCTAACATCGATCGGTTTATAATATACAACGACAACTATTGAATGTTATTAGTGGGAAAATGACTAATTTCAAGTATGGTAGAACATAAACCCTAAATGACAAAATAACTATAATTAGATATACAATAACTAAAAAAACACCTTTTATGCATCTGTTATTGTAATTCACTTTGGTTAATCAAATTCCCAACTTCAATATTATTTAGTTTTGGTTGAAATAAATGTATTTAACTGTACTTGCTGTTAAAGAATGACTTAATTTTACAAAACCTTCTTCTAGAACATTGATTACCTTTGGGTATAATTGGTTATCACCTGCACAGGCAGGTGGCTATCAGAACTTATTAGCTAAGTGTATAATGCTATGGCGTTTGAATCAAACGCTACTGCGTTCGAGTCTCAAAGTGAACATTAACTCTGCGATGTAAGTACATCCAGCTGAAGAGTCCCGAATGGGACGAAACTAGCGTCCTAGATTCCACTGCTAGTCACTATCCATCTTTGCTTAAAAAGCTTTTGATTATGAGTAACAGTTTGTTTCAGTTATCTCATTGTTGATATTCAAGATTAAATTTTGGTTAGTTTTTGTTAGCGTGTATGAATTTTCTATAAAATGTCACAATATAGCCATTTTGTTATAAGTTATTTAGTAAAGGTGGAGTATGGTTATACAAAATTCCGTAGTATACGTTGTTTTGTCTTGGTTAGGATCTGTCATCTATATGTACCCATTTATTCTCAGTGTTGATAACCACTTTGATACTTAAACCCAGTAACTCATTGAGTAGCGTTTAAAGAAAACGAGTACTGGTTGTGAGTTTCAATATGAATATAAACACTATCAATTAGCAGATATGAAACGAAACATTCAACCTGAACTCCATTTCTAGCCATAATTCATATGTTCTATAAAAACCTACAATCATTTTTGTATTTAATTATTATTTTTTAATAAGGAATTCATTACACATTAAGAATTACTATTTCTATCTTCTCTTCACGTTGTTATATAATTTTCCACCAAAAAAATATAATAATAGTACATTACTCTTATCAATAATTATTTCTTTATTTTTTTTTCTTTTTATTTTTAGGTGTTATTATATTTTGGTGTATACGATTACGTCATTTATATTTAAGTCAACGTCATACTAAAATGTATGATCCAGATATGTTTCAAAATAGTCAAATTAAAACGAATGGATCATTAAATTATTCTAATCTATCACATCATCAACAAATGAATTCATATCAAAATTCATTAACTTCTATAAATCCTATACAAAAATATTCAATACCTATAGGACAAATAATTAATCCTTATAATAAACAACGTCAATTATTTAATTCAAATATAAATCATATTAATTCTACAACAGAGAATTCATTAAAACAATTATCTGGTCAAGTGAATACTGCAATGAATTTATATATTGGAGAACGATCAAATTATATGAATAATTCACATACTTTACAATCTCCTAGTAAGTATATTGAATAAAATTTTTTTTTCTGGTTAGAGTTTTTTTTTTTTTAGCGAGTTAGTTTTCTACGGGATGAGGGTTGCTAACCCTATGCTCCTAACCCTCCTTCTTTATCCTGGCTTGGGACCGGCAGTAGTTCATGGAGGGACTCCAGGTTTCACAGATGATCTGACTCTTCTATCGCAAACGCAACAATAAATGCAGGAGAAGACGATCAGTGTAGCAACAGCCTCAGTAGCAGTAGGTCTCAATATACACAAAGGGAAAAACAAGATTCTCTGATACAACACAGCATGCACCAATCCAATCAAAATTGACGGAGAAGCTTTGGAAGATGTAAAAACCTTTACATATCTAAGCAGCATCATCGATGAACACGGTGGATCTGATGCAAATGTGAAGGCACGGATCAGTAAAACAAGAGCAGCATATTTACAACTGAACAACATCTGAAACTCAAAACAATTGGCAACCAACACCAAAGTCAGAATTTTCAATACAAATGTTAAGACAGTTCTACTGTATGGGGCAGAAACCTGGAAAACTACGAAAGCCGTAATCCAGAAAAAACAAGTGTTTATTAACAGTTGTCTACGCAAAATACTTCGGATCCGTTGGCCAGACACTATTAGCAACAACCCACTGTGGGAGAGAACACACCAGATCCCAGTGGAGGAAGAAATCAGGAAGGAACGCTGAAAGTGGATAGGACACACATTGAGGAAAGCATCGAACTGCGTCACAAGACAAGCCTCTACATGGAATCCTGAAGGCCAAAGGGAAACAGGAAGACCAATGAACACATTCCGCTGAGAAATGGAGCTAGACTTGAGAAAAATGAACAAGAATTGGATGGAACTAGAAAAGAAGGCCTAGGATAGAGTTGGTTGGAGAATGGTTGTCGGCGGCCTATGCTCCATTGGGAGTAACAGGCGCAAGGCAGTATAATAATTAAATATAAGTGAATAAATATGATTTTCTGAATAACTACGGTAAAAATTCATATTTGATCTGAATTTTGACTACTGAGTGTTTCAACTCTTAGATTAACACACATATAAGTGAACAAAATTGTTTTCACAATTAAATTGTTATTAGACTTTATCTAATATCAGTATATGGATTTTTAATGATTATAGTATTTCCACAATTGAATTCACGAGTTGATCAAACTAGTTCACCATTGAAAACCTGGAAGTATTAGATGTCTGTTTCGTTTTAATATAGGACTCTTCCGCAGTAAGCATTCACAATCCAGCATATGGGACTAGAAGTCAGAACCTTTGGTCCACTAGAAAGGTTTACGTCATGTAAATAAAAACATCAATGGTTCATGTGCGTTAGTTTGACACATGGGTTGACGAGGTTGATTTGTTGTATTTACCGTAAACTCATTTTAACACTATGAAACCGTAATTCATTACTATGGAAGTCTTTATTCACTCTATTTTATGATTACTTTTAATCACTGTAATGTCGAATGAACCTTACCTTCCATCTCTAATATCTAGGTACACGTTCTAACTTAATTATTGATCAAATTTACGAACGAACCGTAAATGGGCCATGAAATTAAATTGTATTTGATGTAGTATGTTTAGCTTGGGCTAACCCTATCTGGCGGTAATAAAAAGTCAAATACATATTAAGTTAAATGAATTTATATCAGATATTCATTTATCGAGAAAGACAGCATGAGCGGAAGCGAAGTGAAGATGGTAAACGTACCAACGTCATTTAAGTAAACTGTGATCCAACGTTTGAAATCATGAAAAATACAAGCTAGCAAATAGACACATACTTACCATCATACATACATGCGCAAGGTCACATTTGTATAACAAAATGACTAGGACGAATATAATAATTCATTTGTCTGAAAGTAAGGATAAATCATATAAACGTGTAAAAATGGTAGTTGCTATAGCTACATTCTGTTTAAATGATTATTGAGTGTGACTTCATAATTTGTCTGGAAAACCTGGAGGCACTGGACGTCCGTTTCGTCCTATTGTGGGACTCCTCAGCAGTGCGCATCCACGATCCCCCCCCGCGAATTTCGAACCCAGGACCTATCGGTCTCGTGCCGAGCGCTTAACCAACTAGACAAGCGAGCCGGCATCCAACGGTGTTAATGTCTAACTTCAACCAATCCACGAAATTGCGCCACCGTACATCATTGTATTCAGTGAGTTGCTATCTCACAGCAAGCCTGGTTTAACTTCACTGGTAACGGCTTCTCACTAGAACTCCAGAAGTATCTCTTGAAATCAGTCACTAGTGAGCAGATGATTATTACTAGAATGGGTTTTGTGGACATTTTTGGAAATTTCACTGGTTGAGATCATGAGTCAATTAAGGCTAGACCACCATGTGTATGATATATGTTTCCATGTCTATTGAGAAATATTTTAACCAGTGATGTCATGCACTGAAAGAATAATTGAATTCAACTCATCATTCGATACATGATAGAAATTTTAACAAAATTTTTATGTTCTTCTAAGTCATTTTTATGGAGTAGAATTTTATGGGTTAGTGAAACAGTAGGTTGAATAAAGCCTAATTCTTGTTCGTCATATCATGTTATATCACTAATATTTTACTTTATCTTGGGAGTCTCATCACCTTTTGTGGTCTGGTGTGTAACGAAATCTCAGAACGAATACAGAAGTTTTAACTAGCTTTTGACAAATCGCGTCATTTATGGCGAGATATCCGTCTATCAACCAAAGGACGGGTTTACTGCGTAGAAGTTCGTTCCGTCCTATTTTATGTCAGTGAAACATGACCGGTAAGAGTAGGGGATACTCGTAGGTTACTAGTATTTGATCGTAAGTGTCTTCAAAACATTGCTCGTATATCCTGGGACCACCGAGTAATTAATGCAGTTGTTAGGAAACGGGTACTATGTAAGGATGGCAAATCAATTGACAAGGTAGTTAAACTTCATCAGTTGAGATGGCTGGGACCCGTATTACGTATGCTCATCCACCGACTGCCCTGACTTGAGATGTTTTATGTTGTAGGAGTAGGTTGTAAGAAAACTAGGAGCGGCCAGACCAAAACATGGCACAAATCCATGAAGTTATTGACAAGTGGACTGGGTCATGTTGGTAGGTGTAGACTACCTGGTTGGGGACCGCGAGATGATAGCAACCGGTGGTTAAAGACCCTGAATGACATGGCTCAAAATCGTTTGCAATGACGCAGGTGCATCCACTCTTTGTGTTCTCCGAATTTCTAATCTTCTGAATTCTTCATGTCCTCTTTTTTCTCTTTCCAAATTTATTTTATTGGATTATGCCCCTTGAATAACATCTTCAAACCCTGTTGTTTCAGATTACTGTTTATACTTTTACTACCTCTACCACTGGAGGACTTGACTCGACATTTGTATCTCTCTGCCATGGCAAGTTGAACTGATGTACGTTCGTACGATGTTCTATTATTCAAACAATAATCTGTTCATTTGTCAAACCGAAATAATACTTGTTGTTTCATAGTTTATATCAAGAACTGATCTTAGTTAGATAACCGTTGAAAATCAGTAATCACTGGTCAGAATTTTTTTATTCGTCTTAGTATAGGACTCCACAGGAGTCATCATATACAATCCTATCCATCTACTATCTGATCTAGCAATGAACATTTAATTTTTAGACAATTGAACTGGTATCTAATAGTTTACATGTCTTGAATTTAATCAATTCCTAGTGTTCATCAAACATTTTGCAAGACTTCTGGTAAGTAACTGGCTTATTCTCGATATAATTAGTTTCTAAATATAACATCTTTTCATCAAAATCTAGACGTACTTATCAGTGAATGAATAACGTTTTAAACTAAGTAGTGACAATGATTAGTTTGTTTTATCTTTAGATGAATAAATGGCATTTGTTTGAAGTGTTATTTTTTCTTTGAAACTGTGAAGATAATTTCATTTTTAAAATATGGCATTTGTCGCTACGTTCATCGCCACTGTTATACTTGCATAATACTGGTACATGCTACTAGAAACTGTAAAATCATGATACTCAAATAAGAATGATAAGATGGTTGATGAGGATTCAATTGCCTCTCAAAATAAATATTTGAATATACTAGTTTTTGTAAGTGATTTTAATCAAATAACCGTTTTGTTTGTGTAATATTAGACTGAATAATGCTTAACATTAGTGAGATAGTAATGTACTGAATAAATCTAGTTATAAAATATCATAAACTATGATTCATTGTCAATTGAAAAAGAAACCAATGTCACAGGTCGCAGATACTCTAAATAATTAGATATTCTGCTCACTAGATTATTTTAACATTATCCAATATGATTCCATTGCTATCTTCACTTCAGCTTCAACAGAATCAGTACAGGCTTTAAATATAAGTTTTTCATCAGAAAGATAATAAAAGCTTTATAATCTAATCATCGAAATCAAAGAATACTACTCCATTAAAACCAGCCTCCTATACTACAACTTTTCTTCATCCTCTCAAAATGTACTCACTGCTGAATGTTTTTAATCCATTTGATTTTAAACTTTTCGGGATCTATTCTTTGAATCAGACGAAAAATGGAATTAATGTGAATGTGAAAAGATGTTTAAACAACAACGAATTCTAAATATTTTAAGTTGTAAACAGATGATGAGAACCTAACGGAATATAATGAATTCATATTATTTTGCACTAATCTTAGTTTTTACTCTCTTCAACACAAATCACTGTTTTTACTATTAATAATTTGGTATATTCCCTGCCTCCAACATAGAAAATTTGATCAGAATAACAACAACAGCTATCGTACTAGAATAATTCATGAATTCATTTTCATTGCTTTGAATCTCTTCAGCCGCTTTTAACTATGAAATAGAAAAACAATTACGTGTCATTTATATTAGAGAAGCTTTTGGTAAAAATAAAAAAGAAAGGATTTTTTTTGTCATTAGATTCACTTATAATTTTCAATATGATTTAATAATAAAGTTGATTTATTCACT